AAATACTGTTGGGGTTTTCTAGTATTACACCGTATGATGAAAAAGTTTTTTTTCTTTAATTTACATTGACACCCAGTGTTACACTCACATCTATGGGCAATAAGGCATGTCCTATTGTCAATACCTGAAGGTGTTTGGATTGTGGTAGAAAACCAGAATACCCAGGGGTAACCCACATGAAAAAGAGACATCCTGAAATTGAAACCTCCATATTGTTAGGCAGTAGTGCTACTCATTTGCACCCCTATACTGCCCCCCACTGCATATATGTCAAGATTAAACATACTGTAAGGAGTGTCATAAAACGCAGTGTGTCACATGGCAACACTGCAATAAGAAGTTTCAACAGGGTTTGGAGGACTGCATTTTTTGGGAATTTTTAACAATCCAAAATCGTGGGAAAAATGGCACATTCCATGTTAGTCAAAAACAATAACATGTCACTGATTAGTAGAAAGATGAAATCTTTTAAAAAATAATTTCATTTCACAAGAATTTAATAAAACACATTGAATAGAACAAGGTATGCTAATATGTTTTCTACATCTTTTAAGTGCTACAAACTGATTGTATCTTAGCAGCCATTTAGACATTGAACTATGTGTTCATTTCCCAGTTAGAACCTTAGATGTAATGATGTAATTATCTGCAAAAATTGGTTTCAGCTGCGATGGGCTGGCCCCCCGTCCAGGGTTGTTCCCTGCCTCGTGCCCGTTGCTTCCCGGATGGGCTCCGGACCCCCCGCGACCCAGTAGGATAAGCGGGTTGGACAATGGATGGATGGATGGAATTGGTTTCAGTATCTGCTTTTCTTTGCATTGGCTGTGCCTTGTAAGCTCCATTGGAACAAAATGTCATTAAAATCTAAGTACATTGATATGTTGGTGATTAAAAAATGATAATACCAATTAAAGATTACCAACAATACATCTGACACAGAGTGTTCATAATTTGCAAGCTTGGGTCCTTTACTGTGAAGATGCACAAGATATTTGGTTGAAACATCTGCCTTGGTTCCAAAGTGATAGGCAATTGATGTTTTTTTCAATTTTTCTGATATTTTGCATCCGATTGAGACATATTTCATGAAATGAGATGGTTACCCAATCAAGTAATCCAAGTTCCATGTCACTACAACCAAGCGTTGCTGACATATGGCTCACTTCCCTAGCAAAATTCTTTGAATAACTTTTAGTCAGAATCATCTGTAGATGATACATACCAAAAGTGGTCATGATAGGATCAATGGATCAACAATCTAGGTCTAGTCCACCAAAGATAGAGAACCCATAACTTCAAAATGGTGAAAAGATGACCAAAGTTTTCAGGGAGCAAAAAGATCAAAATCCCAAGCAAATGGTTCAAAGGTTATAAGCAAAAATGTACCTTGACGTTTGACAGGTGGGTGGAGCTACTGTACTTTAAAATACAGACAATACAATACAATACAATACGATACAATACAATACAATAAAGCAATGCACGCACCACAACAACCTTAACAGCAAAGCATTTAAGAATGATGGACACATTATAGCATTCCTTAAATAAATGAGTTTTCAATTGGGGCCTGCATATAGACTTTATCTCTAACTGGTGGCACTCACACCAGTTGCTGTGAAGTGCCTGGGGAAATTGGAACTTACACATATTAACTCCCAGATCCCAGACACTGCCGACACCTTACAGTTTGCCTACCGCCCTCAGAGATCAGTAGATGATGTGGTGGCCACAGCTCTGCACTGTACACTTAAACACGTCAACTACAGCAGAATATACAGTATGCAAGGATGCTCTTCCTAGACTATAGTTCGGCTTTCAGTACCATCCAACCAGAATAGCCGATTGGGAAGCTGACAGATCTTGGGTTTCCCACCTCCATCTGTAACTGGATCCTGGACTTTGTCACTGACAGACCCTTGGGTGTCGGCGCCATTAAACGTGTCCTCCTCACATTTCATAATTATTCGTTTGGACCCCCCCACATTTAACATAAAATATTAGTTTTATACCAGTGTGTCCCCTCCACATTCAAAATGCTTCTGACACCCCTGGACAGACCAGAGGTGGTATGGATAGGAGCCTGGGTCTCTGCTGAGCTCAGCACAGGACAACCACATGGTTGTTGCCTCAGCCCTAAACTCCACACCCTCTACACTCAGGACTGTGTCTCCACCCAGGACAATGCAGATGGTACAACCATCCTGGGCCTCATGAAGGAGGGGATCAGTCAGGTTACAGGCAGCTGGTCAACAACACCCTTGCCTATGGTGAAGAAAATGACCTTGTCCTCAACATAGACCAGACCAAAGAATTAATTATGGACTTCAGGAGGAAACCCCTCCCTCCTTTGTAGCCTCTCATTATCAAAGGGACTGAGGTGGAGAAGACCAATAGTTACAAGTTTCTGGGTCGTCATGTGACATCAAACCTGAGCTGGACCAAAAAGACTGTAGTGACAAAGGTCCAGCAGCGGCTTTACTTCATCAGGTTGCTAAGGAAGGCAAGACTGAGCCGCCGCCCCTCACCCAGGCCTACAGAGGACTTATAGAGAGAATCATCACAAATGACATCACTGTCTGGTTTGGGAATACTCAGGAAGGAGAAGCTCTCCAAGGGGTCATAATGACTGCAGACAGGATCACTGGAGCTGACCTCCCATCCATGGTTACTCTCTACACACAATGCTGCAGGAACAAAGCTTAGAGTATCCTCACTGACCAACTCCACCCAGCACACTTTCTGCTCAGGCATAAACACTCAGCATATAAATGTGGATGCTGCTGCCTGGCTATAGAAGCCCATTCCACGAAGCTCCTGGTGCACAGTTTATTAATGCCAGAGGCTCTGCAGGACGCTCACATTTCCATAAGTGAGGGGTTTGAATCCCACTTCTGGGATGTTTGTGGTGGGCAGGATGTGTTGTATTTACCACCTGCTGTTTTTTAGGTTGTGGGGACATTTTTCAGGTCCTCCAATATAAACCTCAATTTTATATAGAAATTGGGAGCCTGTGTGCCTGTAATCAGAAGGTCACTGGTTCAAACCCAGCCTCAGCATGTCTGCAGGTCCTTGAGCAAGGCCCTTAACCCCCAGCTACCTGGGCGCCCCAATAGGTGGCTGACCTTCGTGGACAACTTACTCTACAAAGAGCAAGTTGAGGGAGGTGTAAAAAAGAATTTCCCCATGGGGACAATGAAGGATCGATTATTATTATTATTATTATTATCTGTGAATGCAATCAAGAAACTAAATGCCAATGTTCTTGTGGATTGCTTACTTATGGTTAAGTTTAAGGCTAGGTTAGGGTTAGGGTCATAGTTCATAGTCCCCACAATGATAAGAATATATGAACTCTGTGTGTGTGTGTCTGTCCGCACACGCTGTGATGGAGCAGTATCCAGTCCAGGGTGAACCCCAGCCTTATGCTGCCATCATGAGCTGTGGGTATCTGGAGCTCTTATTTTAGGCCTCTGGACACTGAACATGGGCCTTTAAATCTGGGCCTCTCCTCCTCCTGTCCTCCTGCTCTGCCTGCTCCATAGACCTCCTTCTTGGAGCTACAGAAGTCTCAGCTGGAGGCCAAGCTACAGAAGAAGGAGGAGGAGCTGAGCAAGCACGCTCAGATGATCGCCATGATCCACAGCCTGAGCAGTGGCCGGCTTAAGGGTGACAATGTCTGCCTGTGAAGTAACACACCCCCCCACCCTATACACACACACACACACACCCCAGAAACGGGATTCAACCCCCCCATCACTCACATGATGATGTCATTACCCTCGGAATTCCCACTGAGGCTGCATGGGTAACTGTGGGACTCCCCTTGTTCAGTGACTGAGCTCTGTATGTAACAGAGGAGCACCAGCATGTTCACCCCCGGCGGGGGCCTGGAGCCGTGTGGGATGGGACTTTCCCCTGCTCCTCTGACCCCTTATAATTGGTGCACAAACACCATGGTCATAGATTGCCACTGCTCACCAGATCTGGAGTTCTTAGCAGTAAAGTGTAGACCCTTTTATCTGCCACGGGAGTTTTCCGTGACTGTTGTCACAGCTGTCTACATAACACCGGACGCTAACACTAAGCTAGCACTTAGCTATTTGCTAACCACTATCAATAAATAACAAAATACGTATCCCGATGCCCTCTATATATCCGCTGGATACTTTAATCATGCCAATTTGAAAAGTTTGTTGCCAAAGTTTGACCAGCATGTTACCTGTGCAACCAGGGGGGTCAATATCTTGGACTGTGTGTATTCAAAAATCACTAAAGCATACAGAGCCTCAGTTGTATCACATCTTGGACAATCGGATCATCTGTCACTCTTTCTGACCCCAGTATATAAACCCATTATTAAAAAACTGAAGACCATTACTAGAACTGTTACAATCTGGCCCGAGGATGCAGCTTTATTGCTTCTAGACTGCTTTGAAAGGACCAATTGGAACCTTTTTCTAGACCCTGATATAGATAAGTACACCACCACTGTTCTCTGCTATATTAGGACCTGTACTGAATATATTACCACCAATAAATGCATCAGAGTTTTCCTGAACAGGAAACCTTGGATGTCGAAGGAGGTCCAGGCACTGCTGGGCCTCCTTCATGGTATCCAAACTGCACAGAACCAGATTGGAAGAGTCTCCAGCGGGTTATAAGAACCTCGGAAAGGATCATCGGACTCACCCTGCCCTCTCTAGAGGACACTTTCAGAACCTGATGCCTCCATAGAGCTATTAACATCGCAAAAGATGCAACCCACCCCTATCATCATCTGTTTACTCTCTTACCTTCTGGGAGGCGCTGCAGAGCTCTCAAAAGTCCACACCACAGATTTTTTCCAAGGGCCATAACTGAGCTGAATAAATCTTAACACTGTCCCCCCCCCCCTCCACTGTGTTACATTCAGCTGCAGTAAATATGCAATAATGGGACAATTCATGTAATATGATTTAGGAGGTGCTTTTAATCTCACTATTGTTTAAGATGTTGGTTTTTACGCATGTATTAGTGTATTTATTACATATGCAGGTATGTATGTGTGTATATGTGTGTACATGTGTATATTACTTTTAAATTCAGGCTTGACATAGAAAAAAAAATTGTTGTACTTCGGTACAATGACAATAGAGTCTATCTTATCAGTCAGCAGTCTGACCAAAGCTGTGTCTCAGTGCTTCAGCTCTGCTCTGTTTTACCACAGTTCACCTCCTAACTTACAATGATATGAAAGTCAAAACAGGAGAGGTGCTAAGAATGACTTCTTAGAAATTTACAGAATAAATTCAAATGAAATTTACAGAATGAATTCAAATGAAATTTACAGAATTAATTTAATTTATTAATATTAACGAACATAATAAATCTTAATATACAAATATATACAACGTGTGCAGAGTAGGTTTCATTTCTTGGACTCCAGGCTCTGATTATTGTCCTCAGGTCTGGAGCTCCAGCCTCAGCTGCTGTCAGGGTTCTGTGTCACTTGGTCAATGTTCAGTTTCTGTCCCTCAGGATCACTCTGCACATTTCCTTAATACTTCTACCTCGGGAGTCCTTGATAGTCTTTTTTCATTTGCTGTTTCCGCTGACGATCACTCAGTTGCTTTTTTCCTTCCTCACTATTTCTCAGCCTTAGAGAAACAAAGATTGGTGTAAATATAGTTTTAATAACTAAACCAACAACAACATGTTTCCAAATTTATACAGCTCTTAGAATAACTATTTAAATGAATAACTTAAACACTGTACCTCAACATGATGCATGCCAGAATGACGATTGCAATGACAGCAACAGCAAGGACTGACCCCAGCCATTTACGCCCGTGGTTCCCTGTGGGTGAGATTTCACACTGTGGATCTGCAGGATGCTGGGCCCTGTGACCTTGAGGTTGTGCCACAGTGTAGTGACCAGAGCTACTAGCAAACAGCCAGACTCAGGTGCTCAGAGGCCTGAACAGCTGCTAATCAGCAACCAGGTCGGGGCTCCAAGGGCCAGGATCTCTCTGCATGGAGCCTCAGCCTTCAGTGACTAAGAAAGGAGCCAGACTGTATGTAGGATAACAAAAGGGAAGGGAGGCCCCTTTACTGCAGCCCAGATCACTATGGCTGCTGAGGGCTGGAGCCACTGGGCTCCTGTCTCCCATCTTACCTGCCCCAGTAACGCTGATGCTGGTGTAGACAGTGTGTCTGCTGGACTCATTGGAGAAGGTGCAGATAAATGTTCCATTCATCTCCTGTCCCTGTGAGTTCTGCAGCTGCAAGGATCCGTTTCCTGACTGAGCTTGGATTGTGTCCAGTTGGACCCGGTCAGCCCAGTTGTTGGCCACCTTTCCAGTCCGGCTGCTGAAGCTGAGGAAGTCAGTGGGCTGCCCCGTCGTCATGAAGGCCCAGGTGAGGGTGAAGTTCTGCAGATCATTCGGAGCATGACATGGGATGCTCAGAGCTTGGCCCTCTACACCTTCAATTATGTCTGTTACATGGAAAGCAGCAAAGATAGACGTCACAAACACAGCAGAGCAGACAACAGTGCCTGACTGAAATGTTGAAGCTGTGGTACCTTGGTGTTTCAGTGAGGCTGTCCATAGCTGTGATGCTCCCTCTAAGGAGATGGAGCAGATGTAGGAGTAGTCTGAGCGATTACCCAGAATTCCCACCCAGCTCTCCAGTGCAAAGAGGCCCACAGAGTCTGGTAAGCTTTCAGTGGTGGCCTGAAGGGCTTCTGAACTTGTAGGGGGGTCAGTGGCCCAGGAAACATGAGGCTTGGGATAGATGTTCTGGGAGGAGCAGTGAACCTCCTCACCGAGAACCTTCATATCTACTGATCGGACTGGAGCTAAAAAAGCAAAAGCAAATGTTAGACAAGGACCAGTAGGTGGATCTGATAGGAAGTGGATAGTTTAGATATTTTTATTAAGGAACTTAGTGAGAACAATGTTATCTATATGCTTTGTCTGAGATCTTTTCCTAAGAATGTGGGTGTGAGTGTCGTGACCCGCTTACACTCCTAATTTTGGTTCCTAAACACTGGTTATGCTCCTTGGGAGTTTTGGCCTCAGGATGTTAATATGATATAACACACATTCCCTATGAACAACCAAACATTGTTAACTTGTTCCTAAACATCCAGAAATCACAGCCTGGTTGAGAAACGTCTTTCTCTTTCTTGGCTCCGCCCCCTTTCTCCTTGAAACCTCATTCCTTCATAACCGATACCAGCTGATAGCTAAAATCAAACTGAAAGTGTCCAAACAGTGACAGATTCATTATCGGTGTAAAATGGGTATATAACCGGGCTCCAGTGTACTCTGCCAGATAAATTATTAACCAGCTCACTGTACTTGATAAGTTTCCCCTGAAAACAACCATGTGAATGTTACCTTCATCTCTGCGCAGGACATTAGTGTGTGAACCACTTATTATGACACGGAAGCTGTTTTAACCCACAGCAGTGTTTGTCTATTGTATCTTTTTAATGCATTTATATTAACAGATTAATTTATATTTTTCTGTTTTTCATTGTCACGGAGGGTTGAAAAAAAAACATACTGACTAACAGTGACTCTCCCTGCAAATAGGCAATAATTGTCATGATCTCGGGTGGTTCGGGCGCGAGGACGAGAAATGGTGCAGGCAGGAAGGGAATGTGGACGACCCACCTGCGGCTTGCAGGGAAACAGGGGTTTATTCACAATGAGAGAAACACAAGGAACACCACAAAACAAAAGAACCACATGGGGTCAAAAGTAAATGGGGATAAACAAAGACTAATTACAACAATGGGCAGGCAGGTAAGTAGGTAACAAAGAACACAGCATAAGACCTCAAACACATCAAACAAACATCAAAGACTCCAGGACGAACAGAACATCATCAGTGGCCTGTACTATGAAGCAGGGTTACTGGCTTATCGGGGTAACCTGTCGGATTTAAGGTAGTCTGGGCAAAATGTAAGTGAACGAATATGAAGTCCATTCAAACTGTGGTACTTTAAATCTTTAAATCAAGTTACCCTGATAAGCCAGTAACCCCGCTTCATAGTACACGCCACTGGAAGTTAAATACAAAAACTACACAGGGTAACGTCACAACAGGAGTGAGACAGACAATTAACCAATCCGGGAGGGGGTAAGGCAACGAGCAATCAGGTAAACACAGAAGGGCAGGCACAAAAACAGGCAACAGCTGAAACTAATAATTAAACTCAGGGAACTCTAACAAAGAAACTAAGAAACAGAATCTATACTAGGGGAATAACAGACATGTGAAAACACAAGCACAGACACAAAACATGAAACCAAAATTAAACACAAATCACAAGACACAGGAACAAGAAAACTCATACAAATGAAACACTAGGGAACAAAATACAAAAACAGAGGAGACAGGATTCAAGCACAAGACAGAGGGGTTCATAGGCAACCACATGCTCAACAAGTTGAGCCATGCGGTTGACAAGGAGCGAGGTTAAAGAAAAAGACTGACAACAGGAGGGACGGGATGACCAGCAACACCTACTGGCCAAATGGGGAAGGGACACAGAGTGGGACAACAGGAGCTGACCCTGACAATAATAGGA